AAATCGTTCGTTTAGGTCTTTTAACATTTACAGATGGTTCACATGGTTTGCCAAGAAATGAAGGTCATTTTGAAAATAACAAATTAGTACGACGTGAAAAATGTACCGATATTATACGAAAAGCTATTACATGTGCAGACAAAGCAAAAGTTCAACATATTTAACACAAAAAAGCTACAGATATCTACTTCAATTCTTTGTTTGTTTTTTCGTGCAATAAATTGTTTTGATAAAAAGAAAATTAATGAATTTCTATTACCACGTCATTCATCTAATAACATTCTTTAAAGATTGATTATCTTTCATAATAGTCAAAATACTTTTAGCAAATGTTGTCGATGTGAGATATATAGACGATGGTAAAAAATATCATACATGAATTTTTGAATGATTTACACAGGATTTACTTCATCATTGAATTGAGTCTTAACTACATAGATTGGTTTTAAGATAACGACACTTGTTTACCGCTTCTATATATGTAATAGTGTGTTGGAGGAAAGTAGAATTCTTAAGTTCATGTTCAAGCACCGATTTATTCTTCATAGGGAACATTTTATAATTAACATAATTTATGATAAATTTTATTCTTATGGCCTAAACATTATCGAAACAGTCTGATATATCTGCATGGCAGAAACTAATGCTCATTTTAAGAAAGAGGAGTTGGGTATTTTTTGAATAATTTTTTATAAGAAAGAGATAGAGAACTGTAGTTTCTACCATTGGAAAAAGAAGATGCAGACACATACATCAAATCATATATTATAGGTTTTTCTAAGACAGTTTCTTAATTAATTTAAAAAAAAAAAAAGTGATTTTTTTTCACAGAAATTAATCGAAAAATCGACCCTGAATTTCATGTAGGATACTTATAACTCTGGAAGGAATAACTTCAAAAGTCTGGGCGTTGCGTAGTTTTGTAGATTTGAAGATTCACTGAAGTCACCTTATGGAGTACGTGGATTTTCAAAGACATCGGTTTAAGTTCTCAAAAAACGAGGTCAATTTATCCTATAATGCACCGTTCGATATGTCTTCATCTCCTCTTTCCAACAGTGAAAATCGCATCTCTCTAACTCGTTTCTATCAAAAGTTATTCGAAAAACACCGACTCACCTTTTTTGTCTTGAAAAACACATTAGTAAGTATGACAGAATAAATGAACCTTTCAATATCTCTGTCATTTATTACCATTTCGTACTGAATTTTTCATGTTTTGCTTGAAAAAATAGAAGTAATCATATTTATTCAACGAGTACTTTGCTAATGTATTGCTAATAAATTCCAAGTATAAAATTGAATTTTATCATATTTTTGAGTTTTGATGTTGAAATATTGAAAAGTTCTAATTCATGTACATAATTATTAGTTTTCTCAACGCATGTCTTTCATACACGATGTGCAATTCTTTTTATTTCACATTTAAAAGCAGAACACATCTTTGTTTGCAAACAGACAATTTATTCGTGACAAAAGTTACTCTTTTGATGTGCACTTTTTAGTTTTATATCTTGATGATTCATTTTAGGCTATTTTAATTGAATAATGTGTAAATACATTTTTTTCTCTTGATCAGGTTAAAGCTACAAGAGAAAATCTGATTAATAGTAGACTTCATATTCAGAGAATAATAAAATAATACTTCCAAGCATTTTAACAAGTGTTTATTAGCGAAAAAAATCAGTAGATTATACCACGAATTCGTGATTAAAAAATGTAAGCAATGCATAGTTACAGTAATTGCCGAAAAAAAAATGTTTACTTCTCCTTTTCCAACCAACACAGAACAATTTCAGTCCGAAAATTATTATATCAATAAATGTCTAATAAAAGTCCTGAGAACAGATAAAAGAAAAATTATCGAGTTCGCATTCCGCGTGATGACGACGAGAAATAACATAAGACCGTTTTTCATATAAACTCCACATCAAATCTTCTGTAAAAGAAATAACAAAAAATTTTAGTACCTATTGAATCAATGAAAATTTACATAATTGATCGAACTTTGTACACAATATTTCTGATTATATTTCGGTTTTATTTGAGTATGTCTAGCTGGTTTTGACAAATAAAATGTTATTCTTTACTTCATCGGTTCCTATTAAAAAAACAAATTGAAAAATACAATTCTTTGTTTCTTTTATGAATGAAATCTAGTCTGTAGTTTTCTTTCTTTATATTCATCTATTTCATATTAACTACTTAGCAGTATAAATATGATCATTTGAATGGTTGAATATAGCATATCAAAAGAAAGACGTTTTCACTCATAAAAAAATTTATTGTTATCTTCCTCGTCGAAATAAACTAAGCATTCAATTTTTGAAGAGATATTCGTCGTCTTCATTATTGAAACTCGATATAAACCCACAGAATTTAAATCGAAAAAAAAGTGGTCGAGTATCGAATTATTCTCGGGCTTGTGAAATCGAGGTTTCACGTCCAAAAGCTTTGATCTCTAGTGGTAAGTGTAAAATTGATTTATGAGTGTTATGATGTTGGTTTTTTGGTAATTGTTAAATTCGTTTAACCCGAGAACACGGCTCGACCATTTTCCTTCACTTTTTAATAATATATTAAACTGTTCGATGTTGAAGTTGTGCAATGCATGTTTTCTATTTGTTTGTTCTCTTATATAAAAATATGCGATGAGTAACAATGATGACTTTGCAAGATAAAGAAAAAAGCGCATAATTGCCTCCATATTTGTATTGTCGTCATAGAGTGAAATTTGTTATGTATTAGCTTTACAACATATGAGAAGAGAACGATTATTCTTTGACTACAATAGGAAAAAACGATAATCAAAGAAAGGATTTGTTACGCGAGGGTTGTTTTTGCCATTTTTTCTGTAACTGTAAACACAAAAACAATTGACATAGGGATTTTAGTAGAATACCTTGCTGCCAATAAGAATATACGAGCAAGAATTAGCAGCTACTTCAGTGTTGAAATCTTGTGAAATTCTAGAAACTCTCTGAAGTCTCGAAGCCTCCTTTTCTCCCCTCAACAATGTAGAGAAATAAAAATCACTAAAATTTTTCAAAGATGGGTTCTTTAAAAAACCAAAACTCTAGTTTGTTGGGACTCAGAATGTTCGAATAGATTTTTGCTTCGACGATACAAAACAATAGAAGAAAACATTCTCTAGAAAATCAGACGTGTCACATGTTTCTACAATGTTGTTTTTCGGAGATACAGGAACTTGATTGACGACTGAAACATACTTTTTTCATGAAAAATAGATTTTACGCGATTCCGGGAGATTCTTCTATCTGAGAGAAAGAAGTTGTGCGAAAGTTGGGGACGCCTTATTTCACAGAGAATTGTTTTCTCTGACATTGCATCTAGTCTGAACAAAATTATTTTTTGTGCGTTCTAGATTCTAAAAAACTAACGTTTTAACTTTCTCACAACGCCATCTTAGGTAATCTTGTAATTGTATTTATTTTCTGGTTGTATATCGTTTCCAATACTGGAATTACTATTTCGAATGTTTTTAGTGTTTAAAGTTCTATAATGAAATTGAAAAGAAATCTTATTGAACAAGTTTGGCAGATACTCTATCTTCTAAAAATTTCGTATTCTATTGGTATCATGACTAAGTCTTGGAAGAGAGGAGACAAAATTGAGCAACGACATCGCTAAAGATATTTTCTTCTTTAGAAGTATATGATCATTTTGTATTTGATTATGATTTAAAATCAATACAATATGCCTGTGAATCAGATGTGTACAGATAATGGAGTGTCTATGGGATTGGATGTGAGAGTGAGTATTGCTGTGGGTGCAGTTGGGTGTGACTATCATTTTGGTTGTTATGCGAAAGCTACTGTATGTCTGGACGTGCATGAATGTGGATTTATGCCTGAGTGTGACTTGGTGTAGTTGTGAGTGACTTTCGGCTTATGAATATTCTATTGACCCACACCTACTTCAACAACCACAGCCAAATACTTATGCATACGCACATCCTAAACACTCATCTAACCTTCACATTCACGCAACCTTATCTGCACTCACACTCTCATCGTAGCGTGACATTAATATGGAGCACAATGCTATCTCATGCTTTAGTCACATATCCTAACAACCAGCGTTTACCGAGTTTTTTTTCCTGGAACTCACCTATATTTTCGAAGAAAATATAGTAAAAAGAAGTTCTTTTAGAGATTTTTGTGGTTCCACTCCTCTCTCCTCCGCCTAATAGACCCTAGCAACCAGGAAAGGGAGAAGGCCATCGAACAATCATTAGACATGTTTTTCTAGCAATGGGGAAGGACACCCAAGAATAACAGTGCCTGGATGGTTAGAAAGCTTTCTAGACTCTTCAGGTATTCTGTGAATTTAAGATTTCTATTACAGATTCTAACTACTGTAGTATAAATATTGTGGGCTGTGATACTTAATGCATCGAAAGGATTTTATCGTAGATATCAATCAGTAGAGAGGTGATATTATTGATGCAGTAGAGTCAGAATAAGACGGACATAGAAAAGCTTGTTAAAAGAAATGGTATTGTACTTGGAAGCTTACTGAATGATTAAAACAATTTATTTAGCAGGCTACTATGTTGGTTGAACCGACGAAACGAAGAATAAAATGGTACTAATCAAATCCTATGGAATGTATCCTATATTATCATTAGAAGAAAAAAAGTTATACTTTCAAGATGCAGCTGACAACACAAATAAGGTTTCTTCAGTATAATGACGTTAAGTTAATCTAATGAATTCGTAGAATAATAATTTGAAATGTAAACATTTTCGAAATAATAAAATTTCAAAGCGCGTGTATCGACTAATAAGAATGCTACAATTCTGATTTATTAATTAACTCGGTATTCTTTTAAATCAATTATTTTAACCTCTCTGACCATATACAACACATGCAAAACAGTTCGAATTTTTGAGTTGTACATTTTTGCCCCCATGGGACCACACTGACAAACCTTTTTTTTATTATGATTGTAATTCAACAATAATGAAATATCACACTTCAATACAGCATTGTTTTGGCTATTACTGCATAGGAAGAGAATAGCATCTGACCTTCTTATATAGAAATAAAGGTCATCCTCCAATGCTTTTTAATTACCATAAGTATATTAGTTTGAAGTGTAAGGTTTCACACAGTAGGAAAGCCACTCAATTGGCATATC